CGAGCCCCCACTAGCATGATCTACGTTAAAAGGGAAAGATGGCTATTGGTACAGCGGCTGCAACAGCAGGCTCAAGCGAATCCCCGGTGAGGGAGGTGCAGGGTGGGGCCGTGTCCCCTTGTGTTGTCTGTGGACCGCTAGCGCTGGGCCCGATTGGACAGGCCCACTGGAGGCAGCTCCGAAGAAAGGCTTGACAAACCGCGTCAGAAAGGAGAGCTCTGAAAACGCCCGGGCACCGCTCAACTCGGCACACTGGAGCATTGGTGGACGCGGTGGCCACTGTGGTGGTGGTTGCTTATTTCGGCGTGGAGGCACGTTCCTTTGGGGGGGGGGGAGGCTGGACCAGAACCAGGGCCACTGTGGGGAACCTGGCCTCACCCTCTTTGTCCTGCCCTGGGTGTGTGGGTCGGAGGTTACCTTGTAAGGTGACCAGACGTCTGCTTTTGGCGGGACAGTTCCGATTTTTAACAATTTATCCCGCGTCCCACGGCGTTTTAAAAAAGTCCCGATTTTTGGAAAGAATGCATGACACGCTAGGGTATACGGTTTCCGGCTGCCACATGGCTATTTCACCAGGATATGAGTTTTATCAATGGTGTCTCGCTTTACCAATGTTAACACATCTGGTCACCTTACCTTAGAGGGGCTGCAGGCCTCCTTCCTGTCCTCAGGCTCCCGATCCAAAGTTCCTGTAGGCCTTTGTACTACGAGGGTGAACTTAGTTCAAAGTTCTGCCTCGGATGGAGGAGAAAGACCCAAGCCATGGACTGAAAGGGAACTGGAGGAAAATAGAAGGAATCGAATGGTTTTAGAGTGGGCCTGTGGCAGAGGAGGACCCTGGCCATCCATCAAGGCTGACCCTTTGGGGTGGTTGCCTGCCTTGGGTTTCACGCTAAAAACAGCACCAGGAGCCGCATCGAGGACTCTCGGAAGGTTTCCATGTTCAAGGCAGAGAAACCTGGGTGCCCGTGGAAGATGGAGCTGTGGGTTTCCCCCGTGGGCGTACAGGTTTGTAGAAGTGTGCCTCCTCTGTAAAGTTGGGTCTCCATGATGGAGGGGCATCAAGATGAACTCCCCGAAGAGCCTGGTTTATTAGCTTTCTCCAAAAAGCTCGTTCACAGCCTCCAGTCATTTGATGGCCACTGCTTGTTAGGTCTCATGGTAAATGCTCAGCCAGTACTGGGACGCTGCCTTTTAGAAGTCAGCAGCCCTGCAGGGAGGGAGACATCCCGGTGGGAAGTGCTGGAAGAGCAGCCGGGAGAGCCTAACCTGGAGTCAGAGGGTAACCGTGTGAATGTTCTGTGGGCCCCCCTGTGAGAACGGGTGGGAGGAGTGGACTCAGGTGTCTGCCAGTGCTCACCTGCAGCTCTTGAACCTACTCAGTCTTCCGGGCCTGCCCTGGGCTGAGAACGTCTGGGCAGATGAGTTATGGGTAGGGGGGCTTGACGGCCCCCAGGGGTAGGGAACCAGACACCTGATTGGTGAGGGGTTGGAGCCATTCACAGGACATGGTAGATACAGGGAGTGCTCAGAGCTGGAGGTACCTTCGAAACTGCAGAGAGCTGGCCCCCTGGCAGCCTGGTCTCTGCCTCCTGCCCTCCTCTCTCCTGTCCTCATTTCACGGGAGACCTGAACCCAGAGGAGGGGAGGAGGCAGCAGCACATCCCTCCCGAGCGACTTGCAGCCTTGCTCTGTGATTCCTTGTATCATGTCTCTTGGGTCCAGTAGGAAAGGGCCGGCCACTTCCCAGGTGGGCAGAGAATTCCCCTGGGTCTCAATTTCTGGGACATGGAGAGGAGGGCTCAGGGTAGGCCTCCCCGCCCCGCCCCGGCTTCCACCGGCCCCGAGTGCTGCCACCCTCTTGCTTGTTCCCCAGGCCCCACGGGTGGCAGGCCAGCTCTTGGCACCCGTGCGAGGTCTGTAGGTCAGAGGACAAGAGCTCAGGCGACGAACCTGCCCAAGAGTGAACACCCAGCTCTCTCTGTATGAGAGACGAGAGGAGTCGGGGCCCTGAGGGCTGGGAGAGCGGGGGAGATCTCAGCCGCCTTCAAGGCCACTGAGACCCCTTCCTGCCCCAATGCAGATTCCTACAGAAGCCCACGGAATCCAGTCTTGACCTAAGTGGAAATGGTGGTATGCGTATAGCTACTCAAGTCTACCCCAGTCCCCTCATTGCCTCTGTCCCTCTCTCATGGAGCTCAGAAGAAGTGACCACCCAAGCCATTTGCCAGCCTGGGCCCAGCAGGACCAGCAGCCGTGTTTTCTGAACACCCAGAGCTTGGGGTTTACAGGCAGAGGGAGCCGCGTGTCCCAGACATGTATGGGCATGGTGGGGCGTAGGCATGTGCGTGGGGGCTGTTTTAGGGGGAGGGGGTAGTTGTGGGTCAATCTTTTGATGTGGCCAGACAACACATTTCTAGAAGGCAACTGAGATAGCTGATCGTGGGAGCTTGACCCAGGAGAGGCAGCTCCTCTTGAGAAGCAGGGCTTCTGGGAACACGGCATCCAAAGGGGTCCAGGAGTCCAGCAGGCACTTGCACACACCCCTCCTGCCCCGGACCTCCCTGCTGGTCAGGTGTGGCAGATGCCCAGCTGAGGCCCCCTGCAGTATGCATGAGGAGGCCTCCCTGAGAGCTGGGGGTGGGGTTCCAGAGGGAGGGAACAGCCACCAAGTCACGGTGCTAAATACTGTTGCTTGTAGGTGAGACTGGGGACTTGGTGGGTCTAATTAGTCAGGCCTCAGTGACCGGCCCCTGTGCTTTCAATATTGTATTGATTAGCGTGCGGACAAGGGCCGGGCCACCCAGATGGCGGCTCGGGGCGCCCGTTGCTGCTTCAGAACCAAGCCTGGTCAGACTTCGTGGCGAGGGTCGGGTCTCCTGCCCTGACACCCTCTCCCCCACTATTCCCAGCAAGTTCCTCTGGAGACCCTGAGGTTGCATGTGCCCTGGGTGCTCAGGCCCTGCTTTGGGTCTGCCTCGTGACCTGCTGGCCTAGGACCACTGCCTGCTGCCCACACTGCCCTCAAGCATGCTCCTGTCTGCGCTACCCTTGGAGCGTCCCGGTCAGTGTCCTCTGACGGTGCCTGGACAGCTTGCCAGGGCGGGAGGGGCAGTGGAGGTGCATTTGGAGGAGCCGATAGCCATGGGGATGGAGAACCTGAGTCCATCAGAGTAGCTGGGGTGTTCCTCCGGGGCACTTGTCAGCAGCGCTGTCACTCAGACAACCTCGCGCCCGCACAGACACGCAGGCACATATGCCACAGCTCACACAGGAGTCCAGGGCTGTGCGCCCTCTCCTTGGGGTGTTGCCAACGCTGTGAAATGACCGTGTCTGTCCAGAGCTCTGCAACTGGGAGCAGGCGGGCAAGGGCCACTCCTCTGCGGCCAAACTTCGTGTGTGCAAAGTGTGTGTCAGGTCTCACCTGGGGCAGCTTCCTGGAGCTGGCCACATGCAGGCTGAGGCTTTGGGGCAGGGGCCCCTGTGGGAAAACATAGGGAGGGCTCGTGGCCACAGAAGAGTGGGCTCTCAGGGGGCCATGTGGCCCTGGACTCTGAGTTCTCAGCGTCGTTCCTGGATAACGGGCACCTGCACCTGGCAGAGGGTCCTGCCTTGCCCTCCGTCACCCAGCAAGTGCCGTGGGCTGAGCTGTGGGCCACTTGTGTCCAGCTGAAGCATGACTCGGGGGGGGCATCGTGGATTAACGCGGTGCACGGCGACCCTCTGTGACAGTCTGGGCAGCGATCGCTCAGGGAGCAGACTGCCGGGTCTTTCCCACAGAGCCGTTTGTGGAGTTAGCATGTGAGCGCTAACCCCTGCACCACCAGGTCTCCTTGAGGAATGGACCCCTCTCCCTGGCCCTGCTGCCTTTTCCCTGCAACCGCCCCGTGCCCCACGCGTGTTGAGAGGCTCTGAGATCAGGCCAGGCGCCAGGAGGTGCCCGTTACATGTCCTGTGGGCAGTGGAACAGGAGACAGGTGGGCGAAGGCTGTGACTGGGGCTAGCCAGGCCCCCGAGGCACAGCGGCAGCCCGGTGCCCACCTGCTAGGTACCCACGGAGGCTTCTTGGCCCTCCTACTCCATTGCTGGTGACCATGCCTGGCCAGTGCTAGGAGCTAGCTCCCAGGGGACCTCTGGACGAGCTTTTCACCTTCCCTCAGCTTGGGCTGCTGCAAGACGGCGGCTGGCACATGGCCTTAAGGCCAGAGAGCCTGCTGTTGTCCCCACCGGACAGCTGGAGGCGGGGGCTGCCTGAGTGGACAGCAGCAGATAATCTAAGTGCCTAGCTCCTCATGCCGTCGTTTGGTCCAATTTCCTTTGCCTTGTGACCTACATCAGTCTTTATTTGCTAAACCCTCTGAGCAGGCAGCAGTAATAAATCAATTAATGACTCCGATGAATCGTTTAATGGCTGACAAAATAACACTGAAGCCAACAGCTTGCATCTCTCCAGCAGTACCAAAGGATGCTGGTTGACGCGGGGTGCAGGGACGAAACAGAGACTGTTAGCTAAATTAGCGCAATTAGTGCGTGCTTTAAAGGCTTAGGCGGCATCTGCTCAGCACGGAGCCCATGTGTCTGTCGGCTGTGCCGGGGACGGCTGTGCTGCCAGTGCCTTGCTCTGCTCTGTGGGTCCCCTGCCAGAATGCCCAGCCCGCTCCCGGACACAGAAGAGGTGCTGGGTGGAAGTGAGGTACTGACTGCTTCCTAGCCAAGCGTGACGGTCTCCCCTGGCATGGAGGTAGAGGACCCTGGGACTCTGCAGACTGTGCCTGCAGGGGAGGGACACAGATCCTGTCCCCACCAAGCCTGATGCCAGCTGAGGAGCGTGGGCTCCTGGGATGGCCATGCTTGTCATGATTTCTTTCGAACCTTTAAGAATATATACGATTATATATTGAAGCAGGCGCTCCTCTGTTCTCCGCACACCTCGCTCCTGGCAGGATTAAGTTGTCATCAGAACAGAGCATGTGCCGCGAGTCCACGCCAGGGATTTTTCCACTCTGCGGAAGCGGCTGCCAGTGTTCTTGTTAAGGAGCTGTCACTGGCCAACGATGACATGTTTGCGGTTGTAAGTAGCTTCTGTAAGACAGTGGGAACGTGCGTGTGGTGTGCGCATGCGTGCTTGTGTGTGTGTGTGTGTGTGTGTGTGTGTGTGTGTGTGTGTGTGTGTTTTGCTAATGCTGTAAACCAGGGCCTGGAGCTCATGTCTCCTTAAGAAGAAAGTCAGCGCTGTACAAATACCCTGCCATTGATCCACTCCATACTCTTCATCTGCAGGGGACCTTTAGCCCTTAATCTCCCTCATCTTGCGGGTGCACGCCTAGGCCCCGCGGCCTGTGCCACGCAGGCCCGTCCAGGCAGTGTTTGCACAAGGAGGAGGGCACCCACCCTGGCTGGGATCCACATGGAACCAGGTATTAATTACACGGGGCTCCACCTCACAAATGGTGCCCTTTGATCCAGTTCCCAGAGGGGAGAGATAGGCAAGGTGGTGTGACCCAAGCCTTCTGAGCCCAGGCAAACCCATCCTTTTCATATGGGGCTGGTATGTGTGGGGAGTGCTTTCTTTTTGTCTGTTTATTGTGAAAAGAAGGAAAAACATTATTTTCCAGAGCGGGACAGATAGGGGCCACCTCTCAGGAAAGTGGCTTCTGCAGCGCTTAGGACCTTGTCTCCTACTGCTCGGCAGACCCTCTTTCATCCCCTCCAGCCTGCTCAATCCGTGGAATCCATGGGTGGTACAGACAGGTGGCTTTACATGCTCAGCTGCTAACCCTAAGGTTGGAGGTTCAAGTCCACCCCAGGGCTACTCGGAAGGAAGACCTGGTGATCTACTTCTGAAACCCCTAGGCAGCACAGTTTTGTGTATAGCACGTGTGGGGCTGCCACAAGCCCCCAGGGTCCAAGGGCATCCGGCATCTGCCTGGTGCTGCTCGGTCAGTGCATCCAGCACCGCACGGGCTGGCCAGGTACCTTACCTGGGAGGGTGTTTTAAGTCCTCCTGCCCTCTGGCACAGGCTCAGTGACAAGTAAAGGGCACGGGTGGAGGGAAGGGCTAGCCTGTGGCCCCACGTCTGTCTCTTTCCAGGGGAACAGGCCCCTGTCAGAGCAGCTCTGGAACCTGCCTGTGGCGCTGGGCCAGACTTCCCATTCTGCCCAGTCTGAGCGTGTGGCCTGGGCCAAGCCTTCACTTCTTAGGTTGATGGTCTGGGGAGACTGCTGTGTTGTTGGGGGCTTGGGGGTGCGGCACAGCTTGTGCCTTCTCTGACTGGGTGGCCAGTGCCCTTCCTGGGAACTGTGCACGCTTAGTCCTTCTGTGTACTCCTGGAGGAGCAGAAGATGAGGCAGCCTGCACCCACCTCCCACACCAGAGGGGAGGGGATGGAGCAAAAGGGCGGGTGGGAGTCCTGTCTGGGCCCACTTCCCAGGCGGGTTAAGATGACAGCAGCAACCTCTCACCGTATCACCTGCCTCATCTGCAAACCCTGCCGTCCGTAAGGCCCTGGCTTGAGTGCCACCTCTCACACAAAGCCTCTCTGATCCCATAATCCACCGCCTCGCAGCGCCTGCCCGCCTGCCCTCCCCCCCGCCTCCTGGAGCTCCTTCCCGGGTCCCTCCGCTCTCGGTCACCACAGCTCATCTCCTCCTGTGGCCATGGAGGGCAGAGCCACGCCTGCCGTCTGCTGTGCAGGTGGGCACAGTGCAGCCCCAGCCGCCCCTGAAGCACGTGTTTGCCCGGCGCTGCAGCTATGTATGAGGTGCTCCTCCCCATGGGTTACTACTGGCCAGTGAGGTTCAACAGGCCCTTCAGCAGAGGTCTTGCCCTTCTTGATGTTCTTCCCACCCAGTTCTTTCTTTAAACACTTGTCCAAGGAGCCCGGGCTGTCCGTCCGCGCAAGGAAGAGCAGCCAGCATGTGTAGGAGATCGAGACCTTCAAGCCTATTGTGATCGCCCTAGTTTCTCAATCCTCTGCCCGTTGGTCCTTTCCCCACAGTTGGGTGCACAGACAGGGCTTTTCTCGGGGACGAATCAAGGGTTCATGAGTGAAGGCAGTGTGTGGCTGTGTGCTGGGCGGGTTTCAGGAGGGCTTCCAGACGAGGAAGAGGCCTGGTGATCAGGTTCCCAAAGCCCAGCCAGGGCCAACCCTGCGGGCCACAGCAGTCCAGCCCCCTCTCGCATGAGGTCACAGCTGTCGGCGCTAGCCCAGTGGTGTTGGAACAGGGGAATGGTCCTGTGGCTTCGTGAGCATAAAGATCGGAGACAGAGGGAGAGAGAGGCTGAAGTGAGCGCCGCTTTAGACCTTGAGGTGACGTGGCTCTGTGCGCCTCAGTGGCCTGCTCCTCCAGCCCCACGGCATCCAGAAGAAGGTCGGTGTGTCAGGACAGATCTCACCTGGGCTCGATGGCCCAGCTGTGGCAGGTCTGGGGGTTCTCCTTCCAATGCGCCCCTTTATCAGGTGTTTGACCAACGGGGCCTGGTGGGCCATCGCTCCGCACCGGCTCAGCAGGGCGGAGGTGGGCAGAGGCTCGGATGGCAGGGCTTGCCTAGGTCACACGGCAGATGGCTTGCAGCCAGAGCCAGAGCCCGGCTCTGGAAGCACTCAGTCCAGGGCTTTTCCCCATAATACTCAGCTACCGGATCCTTCCCGACTCCTGGCCACCTTGTAGGACAGAGGAGAGTGGCTCTGTGGGGTTTCCCAGGCTGAGTGTCCGTGGAAGCAGACTCCCTCCACGCCATTGGTGGGTTTACACTGCCAACCTTGTTAGCAGCCCCACCCTTAACTCCCTGTGCTACCAAGACTCCACCTTTCTCATTAGAGGCCCCAGCAAACATCAGGGGGCAGTCGAAGGTAGGTGGGACTTCTCTCAGAAGTGGGGAGGTGAGGCAGAGACAGGACTCTCACCAGAGACTGCTTAGTAGTCTGCTTTTAAGGGGGCCTAATGGCGCCAAACCGAGAGGCTGGTGGTTGCTACCCACCCAGGGGCTCTGTGTGGGGGAGGTCCTAGCATGAGCTCCCTATAAAGATGACAGACTGGGAGGCCTTGGAAGCAGTTCCACTCTGTCGCACGGGTTCACTGTGATTGGGATTGACTCCTGGGTGCTGATTAAACAGCACCAGCATACTTCTGCTATCCCGCATTCTCTGGGACCCCCCCCCCCACTACCCCAATTAATATAGCCTGCCAGGCTGAGTCTACCACTCAGATCCAGAGAGCATTCCAGCTCAAGGCTGCACTGCTGGCCCGTGGCCATCCCTGGTGCCAGGAGAGTAGGTCCGCGCAGGGATCCTGTGTCATTCCCCTGTGCCATCCGAACCTATTTTTACCGCCAGCCGGTCCTGTCTTTTCACACAGCAACAACTCTGTTTTCTCCACGCTGCAGGATTAGAACCCCTGGTCCCCAGAACTGGCTCGTGGCTGAAGGGCCAAGAGAGACCTCTCTTACCCCAGCTCCTCCCGGGAGGCCCCACTGCTCTCTTCCTTCTGTCTTGGCCTCGCTCTGTGACGAATGGCATGTACTCCCTTCCGTCACCTACGTCTTCCGTTTGGGGATGGCTTTGAAAACTCCCTCCAGGAAGTGTGGCCCCAGGAGGGGCCCCATTCCGGGCATACCGAGAAGTCAGTATTACCACCGTCTCCTCCTCCTGGTTTTGTGTTTTACACAGAATCCGAAGGTTCTGTCTTGATGATAGCAACACACCAGTGTTCGTTCATTCCTCACTTGCCCCTTAGGGGTGCCCCGTGCACCACTAAGTGGCTTCTGGACATACCAGGCATCCATGTGGCCTGTCAGTGAGTTTCAGTCAGGGAAGGCTGCCATCACTCAGGGTTTTGCTTGTGGCCCCTGTGCCGTGACACCACAAGGTCCGAGTATTGGGTTGGGCCACGGAAGGAGGGGATTTGCAAAACAAAGTGCCCGCCTGCAGCCTTGCAAGTCATTCGGGAGGAGCTGGCCAACCTGGCAGGAGTCCCACGGCGCACGCTCACTCAGAATTTGTTTCTGTTCAGTTCTCCAGCAGCTTCGTGTGCATAGAGCCGCCATGTTTTAAAGTCGACTAACACAATGAGGCGGCAGGGAGGGAGTCATGCGAGATGTGGGGAAACTGAGACCCGTAGCAGGAAGGGACGTGTCGGTGCACGCACGGTGAGTGAGCCCGGCCCATGCATAGGGTGTGTCTGGTGTCAGTCCAAGATTTTCCCTCTCCGGCTGCAGTGAGGAGTTCTATCCCGAGCCTCGGCGTGTCCGAGTTTGTGGTCTTGAAGGAGACGCGCGGAGATGCTCTGCAGAGTGCCTTAATGGACCTCTAACTCCAAGTGGGAACCCACAGGGAAGGGCCGGTTCCGAGCAACCCAGAAAGGCCTGCCTCCAGGAGGTCAGGTCTGCGCAGGTCTGTGAATACTATAGATTGCAATCGTTTATTGAACACCTGCTATATGCCCCACAATGACAGGATCTTGGGGAATGACAAGCAGCCCCTGTCTTTGAGGTGCGGGAGGGCGAGTGGGGGGTGGTC